AGTCTTTTATTTGTACAAATGAAAATATGATAAGTGAATGTGCTCGTTATGAATTTTTATTTATATTGTGAAAAGACTTATATATACAATGCATAAATATATGTGTGTATATATATATGTGTGTGTATGTATTTATATATATATGTATACATATATATATATATGTATGTATGTATGTATTATGTTTATTATTCTTGTTTTAAAAAGTATGTATTCTTGCAATGTTAAATAGTAAATCTAAAACTATATATGGTTACATTTATATAAAATTATATATTTGAAACAGGGGTAGTCAAAATAATATCTCTATATGATATGTATGTTATAAAATAAATTGAACTATGAAATGTTAAAATGCCAAAAAATTTATACAATATGAATGAATGAACATAATATAATTTAATTTTTAAAATTAAAAATTATATATATTCTCTGAAAATAAAGTATCCTATATATAAATTACTAATCTCATAAATTTCAAATCTTGATTTTATTTATATTTATTTTTAATAAGTATAAATTTTTATAATAAGAATAGATTAATAATATAGATTAAGTTAATTGATATAAGCAGTTAAAGTTAATTGGTATAAGCAATAACATCTCATAGTTCAATAAAAAACTTATAAATAATATAACTATTCACTCCCCTGTCACATGTTTATTAAAATTATGTTGATTAAAATTATTAGATGTGCCTAATAAGTTACTGTTTACAAATAACAAAGTTTTTAATTGTTTTTAAATGTTATAAATGTTTTTCTTATTATTCTATTAATATATACATATTGGGAGTGGCAAAGAACAAGTTCCTGGTTATAAAAAAAGATGGAATAAATATATTCCTTGTTAAGAGGCTACAAAAAAAATAGATGTTATACTAATACAGGGTTAACAGACTATATCTACAATTGTTTTATAATTTACTTTTTCGCGGTTTACATTCCAAAGAATAAAAATGCAGTAAAAGTCACTTTATTGAAAGATCTAGTTTTATCATTAAATGCAACCAAATAAAAAGAAAATATAATATATTTATATATATATATATAAGTCTATCAATTGTTATTCCACTTAATGTTTTGTTTCTTATAACTTTGTTTTAATTTTTCATATTTTATTTGCACGAGTGCCTTAAAATACACCTAACAGTATTTGTCGTATCGTGTTATGTATATCATATAAGATTAAATGAAAAAAATTATATATATATATATATATTTCTATTATTCTTGTATAATATATGCATAATACATGTTGCAATTATGAGAACATTAAATTATATACTATTGCATAATAAATATATTGCGAATAATTTTTCTATAAATATGTAAATCTCAAATTTATTTTACAACTTTTACTGTAATTTTATTTACAATTTATCTATGTAAGTGTGTCTTTTAAAATCATTTATATATATTTAAAATAAGCTCTATAATAATAATATAAACTAAGAAAAATGTTCTCTTGATTGAAGCTTTGTTATGCAGATATTTTAATGATATCATTGTGTGTTCTATGTGCCTAAATTTTAAGAAATTTGTATGCATCAGAAGTTCAAATATGCATAATATTACTTATATACATATATTCAACATAATATGAACATGCATCACTTGTACATTGTATGAAGAAAAACAAAGTCTAAAAAATTTTTATAAGTATAAATTATTATGTGATAAAAAATATATCAGTTTAATTTTTATGCCATGTTTCACAAAAAAACTAAGTTTATTAACATTAAATATTCTGAATATTTAGTTGTGTGAATATCTATACAAATTTTAAATATATCAAAATCATAAATGTAGCAATTTATCATATGATATTAAATTTCATTAGCGATTTAAATATTACAGATTCTTCATCTAAATTCAAATAATTTAGTAATGTTGTATCTATTAAAGAACCAGGATATTTTTAAATATGATTACATTTAAAATATATGCTTTATTTAGTTGAACATTGGTTTTTTAAAAAAATTAAATTGCTGACTTCCATTAATGTAAATTATTATAAGATTGCACTGATTCAAATATTATCAGTTAAAATAATTTATATTAAAAAAAAAGAAAAAAAAAAGAAAAAAGAAAAGTGAAAAGAAAAAAAATTCTTTTATCATTGATAGCAATATTATTATTTAGTTTAAAGATTTAAAATTTTTATGTGCAAGTTATCAATTTGTAAATCAAATTAATTATAGAGGTGGATTTATGCAAACATTTATAAATCAATGAAAAAAATTTTCATAAGTCAATATTATATATATATCCATCTATTTTTGATTTATAATCTTTTTATATTTTTTAACATTTAAATTATCACCTATAATGGCACTACTTAGATAAGGCAGATCTGTATAGAAAAATAAGTGCAATTGTATATTTTTACAAAGTTTACAATTAATTATTCTATCAGAAAATACTAATTTTTAAAATGGTCATTAGCTGTGCAATTCTAAATCAAATAAATTATTTATACAGTTCTGCTATAGTTTTATACACAATGTGTGATTAACATAATAAAATAATTGTATGATATACATTATAAATAAGCTATAAATATGTTTTAGATTTGTAGCATTTTTTAAATTTCATTATATCCAATATATAATATATATAAAAATTTTAAAAACATTTTATATATATATAATATATATAATATATATATATATATAATACATATATATTTTATACATATATATTTTATACATATATATTATATATATATATATACATATAAATATTATAAAAAAGAAATTAATAATAAAATTTTATAATTGTTTAATTTATATGAAATTATATATATGAAATTATTATGAATAAATTACAAAAAATAGATTAATAGATATTTTAAAAAATAGAAGAAAGAAAAATGTTACATATCTAAAACTAAAACCATTCCATAATTAGAATAAGAAATTTAATTAATAAAAATAAATTGTATGAATCAATAGATTATTTTCTGTTATTGTACTTAGGCTACAGAAGTGTATGCAATTGCAAAATTTTAGTTGATATATTAAAGAAATAATAAATAAAAAAAATTATATGTCTTTTTCTAATCCTTTAATATCCTTTTTTTTAATCATTATTTGTTTATCTGCTTTTATTTATATAATAAAATTATACGATTATAACATTTCATTATTTTTAAAAATTACATTACTACATTTTTGTTTTTCATAGGTAATTATATTTATATACAACAAATTCAAAATTGCATTGAATCAATATATCTATATACATAATACGAAAATGTATTAATTATTCTAAAATATAATATAAAATACTATATAATGAGTATTTAATAGATCAATTTTATTTACATATTTTTTCTACATGTTATTTTCTTATTAATAATTGAAATAAAGATAAAATTTACCATTTAATAATTGGTAATATATGATTTCAAAGGATTCAAAAAAATATATTAATATTATTAATTAATTTAATAATTTAATTAATTTAAAATAATATCGTATATATTTGATATTTTTTTTAGATATTTTTAAATAATTTATTATATGTTTTAAAATTTTAATATATCGCATATATAAATTCTTGACTAGTTTAATCAAATGTTACATAAAGTTATTGATCAAAACGGAAAGTCAAAAAGCATGCGCGTTTTTCTTACTTATAAATGACAAGAAGATGATGTTTTACAAAGCTTTGCAAGTGTTTTTCCATTTTTTTACAATTTTATTATGTGTATCTGGTGAAACGTTAGTAAAAAAAAATGAAAAACGCACTAATTTCAGAAACAATTATCAAATGTGCCTCGACAGTTTTAAAATTCACGAAGATAAAATTATTCGAACACAGGAATCCCGAGATATGGGTGCTAAATTTTTAAAAGAATACGACGTTGATTCTAGAGAAGACTGTTTAAAGTTTTGCTGTGATACTGAAAGTTGTGATGTATTTATTTTTGAAGAAAAGGTATAAGAGTAGTTTTATAGTAGATATAATATAGTATATATAGTATATATTATAGTAGATCTAATATAGTAGAAAAATAACAAAAATTCTTTTGTTTTAATAATTAAATTATTACATTTTATTAATAATAAATTAAAATATATATTATACAGAAATCAGGAAGTTGTTATCTTTTTCAATGTGGTCCATTACATGACTTTAAATGTAAATTTACCAATCATGCTAATTATAGTAGTGCAGTACGCAACTATAATTCACAATTGGAAAAAGAACAAGAACATGAATTACAATCTCTTAGGTAGGCAATAATTATTTTGTTATTTATAATATTTTAATAATAGAATAATAATATTTTTTATATGTAGAAAATTATCAGATCCAGCACCACCAGAATATTTCTTCACAGAACCATCTATGAAATTAATTACAACTTTAACACCAAAATCATCATTGACAACATCTCTACCTATTAAGCAAGGTACATAAAAATCAAAATTTTATATGGCAAAAATTATAATTTTATAAGGCAAAAAAATAAATATATTATATTTTTTAGTTTGTAGTAGGAATCAATATGAGTGTCGTTCATCTGGAGATTGTATAGCAGTATATAATGTATGTGATGGTATACCACAATGTGCAGATGGATCTGATGAAGCAGCAGATCTAGTATGTCCCACAGAAAAGCCAACAATTTTGCCTTCTATAATTCAAGGACCTCAATCACCTTCACCATTATTACCTGTTGATATAATAAAATATCAACAAATGATTGATCAACATAAATCCCTCCCTCCTATGTATGCTCGCATTCCAGAAGT